GGGGGGGGGGGGGGGGGGAGTTTCAATCTTTTCTTCCGGACGGGCTTCAGGCTCTGAGGTATCGCGGCATAGCTTTAACCCTAAAGTCCCTCACAACCTCCAAAACACCATGATTTACGAAACTATATGTCCTTCATAAGGAGCCCCTGGTAACGGGCATGGGTGCCTCCGAGCGGTATGAAGAATCCAGGCAGAGCAGAGAACACCAAGAGAGTAGAGTACCTTAAAGCAAGCCATGAGTCCTAACAAGCTTCTGGGACACCCTCAACTCGAATTCGTCGTTGTGAACAACTGAAGGTTTCACCCCCCACAGCCTTGTCAATCCGCGAAAACAAGCGGAGCTCAGTCATGAATGTCGATGCCCCGCCTCCCTTACAGCCTTAGGCCCCCCCAGCAAACACTCAAAAGCCACACCCCGAAACTCCAGCAGGCAAGCTTGCAGGGATGACGCGGTGCGTTTGTCTGAGCCAGTGATCATGATGTCACCGATCGCATCGATACACTCGTACCTTGCTCCCCCGGCTGCTGTACAGACTTGCTCAAGAAACACAGCTCGTCGGGATATGTTCCGGGTTGGGGCCTTTCTTGGTTGGGAACGACATTGGTGTTGATTTCGGTTGTAGTATGTTGTAGTGTCGAGGATCAAGTCCCTCCTTGGGCACCTATTCTCCTGCACTCGTGGGTCGCAACGCTGCCCCACGGCCCGAAACCCAGAACCTTACTTAAGCTAACGAACACGATGAATTCCCAAAAATCATCCTGTGCTCCCAACAGTCCTCGCGCAGCAAGGCTAACTCTAAAGTCCTACAGAATTGGAGTCAGGGTTTGTGGTGGGTCAAGCAGTTCAATGTAGGCATTGAAACCAAGCAGTAATACGTTCTGACCATTGATATTCTTTGGCTGGATTTTGCCGATTACGCTTGTCCGATTGACATGTCCCGAAGTCATATGTGACAAAGGACAGCTCGAGCCCAGAAAGCCAGAAACCACCACTACAAAGACTGGCTTCTTGCTTTTGTCAGCTTCAGTTTCCAGAGTCGGGATCTGTAGTAAGGGACATGGCTTCCTGGCTTCCTCATTATGGTAACTGAAGTCTTTAAAGTCCGATCAACAACAAGAACCCAGCAACGAAAAGTACTATGCACAGTTTCGACCTTCAGATCTGGAGTATCTGGAGTATACATGGAAAGCCCTGCTCTGTAAACCGCTGAAGCCTTATGAAAGAGCTTAGTATAATGTGGTATAAGGTGGCATGGTATGGTATACTAAGGTATCATCTAATACAATATGGCTCAATATCGAATACTACAATATATTGAATGCCTAAATCTCTGAATGCACCGGGGTGACACAGCGGCGTTGAGTACTCGGTTCCTCAGCAGGACCTCGGTAACAGCTGGGTTGAAGTAGCCTGAGGGAACACAAACGGCTTTTAAGGGATTTAAGGCTTAAGGTTTGAAGTTTAGGGCTCATAAAGCTTACAAGCTCAATAGGGCTTAGGGTTGCACGCTCTAATGTTTGGTTTCATAATTACAAGTTATACCTGCTTTGGAACTTAAGTGTTAGGAAGCCTCGCTACACTTCCAGCTGCCTTTAGCCCTGCGCCCCCAATCCCCAAAACTCTTGAACAGTGAACCGAGCCCCTGAACCGCCGACCCCTACCAATAGTCGGGCCTTGAATGAAATTTCGAAATCGGGTCGTGGGCTATACCATCGTATATTAGGCAACCGGAGCCTTGGCGGGATGTATCACTAGCAGGGTCTTGGGCTAGGTTATATGATCATTCTACCAAGGAACCATCAGAACGACAGAACTACAACTAGTTACTTTCTGACGCCTACTCTAAGCCCTAAACCCTAAACCCTGAACCTACATGATTCAGGTCCCTATACTACCGAGTCCTTGGCTCGGCGGAGGAGCTGCAAAGCAGCCGACTGAAGCGCAGGGGTCTCCAAGGCCTCGGGGTTTTAGGGCCAAGCGTTTAGGGTTTAGGGGTTTAGGGTTTAGGGTTTTGATTAGGATTTTAGGGTTTCGGGTTTAGGGCTTAGAGCTTTGATTAGGGTTTTAAGGTTTCGGGTCTAGGGTGTTGATCAGGGTTTTAGAGTTTAGGGTTTAGGTTTTGATTAGGGTTTTAGGGTTTCGGGTGTAGGGCTAAGGGTTTTGATTAAGGTTTTAGGGTTTCGGGTTTAGGGTTAAGGGTTTTAGGGTTTAGGGCTTTGATTAGGGTTTTAGGGTTTAGGGTTTAGGGCTTAGGGTTTAGGATTTTAATTAGGGTTTTAGGGTTTAGGGTTTTGATTAGGGTTATAGGGTTTCGGGTTTATAGGGCCACGGGTTTTGATTAGGATTTTAGGGTTTCGGGTTTAAGATTTAGGGTTTTGGTTAGGGCTTTAGGGTTTCGGGTTTCGGGTTTAGGGTGTTGATTAGGGCTTTAGGGTTTCGGGTTTAGGGTTTAGGGTTTTGATTAGGGTTTTAGGGTGTAGGGTTTAGGGCTAAGGCTAAGGGCTTTGGGGTTCAGGGGTTTAGGGCTAAGGGCTTTGGGGTTTAGTGCTTCCAGGTTCAGTGTCTAGGGATGTTTAGGGCTTAAATCGGGCTAAAGGCTCTCGGGTTCAAGGCTTTTAAGTTATACAGCTTTAGAGTTTTGGCTTTAGGATTTGTATAATTATACCAGGCTGTACTGTTGGACGGTTTAGGGTGTTGGGGTTGTGAGGGATAAGGGATGTAAAATGCCAAAGCTTACAGAACGGTTCACAACTTTGGAGCAACGCCTGCAGCATGAGAAGCACCCGAAAAGGTTGACACCTTTTACTTGAAGGAGCAGTCTCCAACTAAAGGGTGCAAGCCAAACCCTAAACCCTACACCCTCGCGGGAAAGCTGCTTGAAACAAGGCCAGGTGCATTCTGGATGTGCGACATCAAAGCTTCGAAGACTGTGCTCTTCTCGATCATGGCTCTCCGCGCCTTGCCCCCAAGCGTGGGAAGCTGGCTTATTTCGGGACAAAATACTATTTGGGAGCAGGGGTGTAGAAGGTCCAGGAATTACAGTACTAACCTACTAAATTGGCAAGATAGGGGAACATGTGAGTATTTATTTCGACCCCTACAATAGGGTAGTTCTCTAAATTAGGGCCCTTTCCGGCACCATGCTTTTAAAGGTACCGCAATATTTTTGGGACCTAAACAGGGACCGTAATTTAGAGACCTACCTGTTTAGCAAGATTTTGGGGTTTAAGGCTTCAGGTTTCCGGGCTTGAGGAGGGCATGATCAGTAGTTTTGCCATTTACGGATCCGCTTGAGGGTTTCCCAGACCCCCGAAAAAATCCAAAAAGTAGATCCCTTAATGGGGGTTCCTATAAAGAGCCTTTAGTAGTATAGGGTCCCAGAGTAGGGGTTCTACTTTCTGGATCTTCCCGGGGGTGTGGGTTAGATGTCGGGGTCTCGTGAAATCGTAAAATCTGTGGCGCAGATTGGAACCTGCGACTTGAGCTATTCCACAAAGTCTAGGATTTGGGGCAGGACTTAAGGGGCTCGGCTCCTTCGTCCTCTCCCGCACTTGTGAAGAATAACCCTAAACCCTAAACCCTAAACTATAAGAATGACTGCTGGCGCCAGTTTTCCGGACAGAGCGTCTGGCTCTCGTGCCAATCTCACGGTGTGGCGTGGCACAGGTACGGGCAAGCTTCGCCAGACCAAGGCTGCGAGAGGAATCGTTATCAGTGTGAAGCCAAGGGGAGCAAGGGGACTCAAAGTGGGTGGAAGGTGCGCGTTAAGGAAAGAGTGGAGAAAGAGGAAGGCACCGAAAGTGAAGATCCCTGGCAGCAGCAGGAGCAAGGACTTAGTATACTCCAAGAATCGACAGTCACACTTTCTCTGCATGGCCCACGCAAGGCGAACCATCACACGGAAGAGGATGGGAACCACGCCAAGCCAGTAAGACAGGCCCAAGAGAAGCTGCATGATAACAAGCACCAAATGAGCTTCACCCTCTGCCGAATGAGCAAACTGCCAGAGCCCGCGTGTCGCACTGTCAAGATGAAACCAAAAGAATACCGGGGAGGCCTCGGCCAAACGCCAGTATGACACCATGTGATTGGAAAGCTGATCCACCAGCAAGTTGTATAAGTCGCCATGGACTTGCTGTTCAAAAGCTTCGATGCCACCAAACCAAATGTTGATGCATTTCTGCATCACCTCTCGGTCGCACATCAAAGGTTCTTTGCCACGGGGATTTTTGTGCTCTACAGAGCAGCAAAAACTTTCAGCTGTCGCAAAACTGAAGTGTGCGATGTGCTGGCACATTGTGGTCACATCACGGCAGTACTCACGGACGAGGTGTGCAATGTACCAGAAAATCAATCCACAGAGAGCAAGCCCCAGCATGATACCAAAATCCCCCCCTCCAATGGCTTCGTGTCCAATGGTGTTGAAAACGAAGTGGAAGGCGAAACCTCCAAGTGCGGATGCAAACCAGCATGCAAACATGGTGAATCCCAGCAGGGTCGGTCGGATGATGACACGTGGCTTCTCGCCTGGGGACCTGCTGCGAATGAAGGCGGCGAGCTCGTACACGCACCAAAGTCGACGAGCCCAAGTTGTTTCGCATGTTTCGCTGTAAGATG